GTATACACAATCTTATATACATCCCAAACTCTTCCCAGCAGACGGCCGTTGCTGTATTCTTGGTCCCCATTACTGAATCCAACGTCCAAGGTGCTATCGACCTGTTATATATAACGCCACGAGAATCGTGCCATACAATTCCGATTGGCACTCCCTCATCTCGTTGCGAGACGGTTCTGAGCAGTGATGCATTGTGTGCTCCGGACACATGTCACTCGTGTGGTACCCGATGTGGTTGCGCCGTGGAGCCATTCCACGAGATACGGGTGCGTGAAGAGACCTCACCTAATCGAGAGTCCGTAAGCTCTTCTGTTCCATAACAAGGCGATTGAGCTAACGATGATAGGTTTCCCCGAGCTGAGCGCATTTTCACCGTGCCACTCGATGTATACTGTGCGAGAAAGCCAATCGACTGGCAGTCACAATCGAAACGCAAATCGCCGTTTACTCTTCTCATATATACTACCATTTCAGACGATCTTCATCCTGCTGAAGGAAGTCGAGATCGTAAGGGTGGCCAGGGAAGTCGAGATTAAGGAAAGGACCCGCCTTTCTCGGCAAGCTGTACGGACCATGATCTCTGCTGCTTTCTCCGAGAAAGTGGAAAGACTAGGTGCCTCAACGATGTTAGCCCGTCGATAACGGGCAGCATGTATACCTGGCAACGGTTTTTCGGCTCTACAGTCCATTGCGAATCGCGAAGGCAACATGCATGGTTGACTATGGTCTTGCTTTGAAACTTGCGAGAAAGCGAAACGGCTGAGCATGACATGTCTCGCGGATATATACTTCCATCGCGGTTTACTCTGCGCGTCGCTCCTATATATACACCCGGATTCTAGTGCGTTGGCCTATTGGCTTATGTTGCGGAACGCTGCTCGCGTCGTCACTCCCGAGGTCGATAGCTGGAAGAGTTTCCTGTCATTCAATTCACCAGACGAACGGACCTGTGACGCCATCAGACAAGTTCCTGGATCGACAGCCGACAGCCTTGACGTTCCTCCACGATGCAGTGCGTGCTGTCATGGGCTCCGCATGAAGTTCTAGTTGGGACTTACATAGCTATGAAGACGTCGAGGCTGAGAAAGCGGGAAGAGAACATGCCTTATGCAAGCCCTTCTCATTATATATACGCGCACCCGCCGCGCTGCACGACTGTATACGAAAGCCTGTACGTATCCCCATTCTATTCGATCGCACGGGGATGTAAGATATGCCGAGCCTGTACGTTGGAAAGCGAAGATAACTAACACCTACCCAGATCATACGGGTAACGGCTCCACGATACAGAATGTACCGTTGGAGCGTGCAGTGCTGGGTTCACTGGGATGATTTTGTCCGTCGTGCGCGACTCGCCAACGAAACGTCACAAGGATGAGCACCAGGCGGCAGGATATATACACCTGGCAAGTGTCCTTCGCGATTGCAGTCCTGCGATTTGCGAGGGGAACATGCACGATTGACTGTGAACTTTCTCACCCACTGGTACTGCGACGACACAGCGACGAGGCGCACACGATTGCCGCATCACTCAACCATCCCAAATACCAGTATACTCTCAAATGCAAAGATCGCAACGAGAGACTTGCTTCAAAACCGAACACTCGACGCTTGCTTTCCTCAGCACTCTATTACGAGAACAATATGTAAGTCCTCCGCGCAAACTCTGCTCGTAAGAAAAACTGTCCTGCAAGGAGAAAGTTTCTGATACACAACCCTGCTACGATCACAAAGTCCAGAACCGCACATCGTCATTTTCTCCTCTCCGCACACCCGTCATTTACTATTTTTGCGCCGTGCGCACCGGAAGACGTGGGCTTCCCCGCTCGCCTCGAGCACCGCGGCCCTCCACTTGTCCCGTATTGCGTGTCTATGTTGCGTGCTCGGATCTCCCGAATCTTATCGGACAGACGCTCGGAGAGGAGGGATGATGCGCATGTGAAGTTTTGATAGATAGAAAGAAATCCAACAGTTCAAAGTGTAACGGAATTCCGTACTGAAGACGCGCAGCGAATGAAGGTCGCTCCCACTGCCGCACATGCTGACGTGAAGTACCGAGCCAATTGCCTCGGTTTCCACGGAATCTTAGTCGTTTAGTGCTGATTGCCGGTGCCGCGCTCCCTAGTTAGGGCCTGGGAACTGCAGCAACCAGCACAACGGTTTTGCGCCAAGGACTGGGTACCAATTTTGGGCTGTCACTGGGCAATGCGTGGTCTTCACCCCTTCTTTTGATTCCAAGGCTGAGATGCGATCTGCGTGGCTCTGTCTGGGAAACCAGATGCACAGACTGAGGGTGCGATCGCATCCTGTAAATTATAAGGCGGTGGTCAGAGAGCGTTGTGTTCGCCCCGTAACGCGTCCAAACTTCTTGGGCACGAACGTCGCCAGGAGGAGCCTAGCTACTTTGGGATATCGCGTTTGGGCACCGGCCGGCTAGTGCTACTGACATGCACCGAACCACGGTCGAAAATTTCGAGTCTGTCATCAAAGTTCATCAGCTTGCTGTGCGCATATTCAACAAGCAGGTTGATGCTGGATTTCGATGATGACCTTGCTTCACGGGCCAAACCTTGGGCTGCTGGATGAGCTCTCAATATGCGACTTGCAAAGTACCTCCTATCTGGCAATAAAGACGACTTTCACATGACGTCTGGTCCACGTCCGCGACCCGCATCGTTCATGCAAGGAAAAGACTCCGTGGGGTCCTCGGCAGCTGCGTAATGCAGACGAAACGTGGGAGCACAGACGAAAAGTAATGGGAAACCTCGAAAATACGGTGCGAAATCCAAAGTGTCAAAAAGCTGTTGCTGGATTTTAGAGTTTCGGACCGGTTTACGTCGCTTTGTTTGGCAAGCCTCAACAGCCCAAGGCGCCTCATTACCAACGGCTTTAACGCGAGCGCTCTGGGAAATTGAGCACATGTCATCGGATCGTAGTGGGAGTGTGTTCTGGACCTGCTCGCTAATGACTTACTCCACATTATTCTCCGACACATCCCAGCGATCATGTTTCGCATCACATGGGATGCCTTGGGTACTGATGGATTCTGTCGTGAAGTCGCAGGTATCGCAGCTGTCTCTATGGAAACGTTCGTGCATGGACGGAGTTCACTGACATCTGCAATATGCACTCCAACGGCTTTCTGAATGGTGAACCAGTCTTTCGTTCTTTGGTGTGCATGTAGCTAAGGCATAGGCGAAAAACACACCCCGGTCCTCGTCTTTCTGAGGTCATCGGATGCGAGTCCGAACCACAGCATCGCCCCGCCTCAGCAGCATTGAGCCAATGAGGCGCTTTGCCGGTCAGTCGCTGGACTATTGACCGAACGGCTCTGCATGGATCAACCGTTTTTCTGGCGTATTACGAAGATCGCCCCGCCTTGCTTTGCGACTGTTAGCGGGGCCGGAGGGACGCGCAGCTGTGCTTCCCAGTTTCAGCTGTATTTGTATCCCGTGGCGCCCGTGGTCAACACAACAACAACAATCGCAAAAAAGCAACTAGCATGCCCCTATCAACATAAACACCCTCGCGCGAACACCTCCTGAAACATTGAACTCTCTTCGGACCCAGGAATCGGAACTCAATCGAAATCAATCGCTCTCTGCCAGGATGTCGACTACCATTGGCGTGCCGTACGACGACCTTCGCCCGCATGTCCTGCGACAGAAGAAGTCGTTCTTCCAACGCCTGAACGAAACTCACGACCAGCTCCTTTCGCACATGCGGTCGTTGAAAGAGGATCCGGTGCTTTCGGTCAAGCAATCAGCGGAGCGAACGAGGGCCTCATCGACAACATCGCTCACATCAGTGCCGGAGTCAGATCGGGAAAGCTCCCAGGACACGACACGATGCACCGAATTCGACCTCGAGACCCCGATATCCAGCGGCTTCCTATCCCCGCCCATCTCACCAGTCGAAGGCAGCTTCTTCCCCATCCAGCAATTCCTCATGCCCATGGACCGCAAGCCCAGCAAAGAATTCATCCAAGGCATGCAAGGCTACGTCCACTGGAAGCAAGCGACCTACGAGTCCACACTCAGCCCTCCCATCTCCCCACCCCAAACACCGCAGAGCAGCTACTCCTGGAGCTCCTCAAGAAGCACCCGCAGCGAGATGTCTGACGAGGAGATGGACGACTGGCTCGACCGGCCCATGGACGCAGACGTGCATCGCTTCCGCAAGATCTCTGCCTCTTCGCTGGAAGAATCGTCTGACTCCGACAGCGACGACGAGAAGAAGATCCACGTCATCCAAGAGCAACCAGAAGACGAAGACAGCGCGTCCCGCGAAGAACGCCAGCACATCTCCGCTATGTGGCGGGAGACGTGGTGCATGCGCGACTCTCAGGCTGATATCTCGTTTGAAGACCAGATCGGCGAGATTGCGCCTGAAGCAACACTGAAGGCTTCACCAAAATCGAACAAAACCAAAAACCGCGAGTCCATGTTACTATCGCTACCGGATGAACTGCTCCGCACCATTGCTCTTCACGTGCCTCAGGAGCACACGCAGCCTTTCCGGTTGAGCTGCGCGAAGTTCGATACCCTTGTTCAAACACCACTGTGCTCTACTTGAGCTGTTCCACAAATTTTCCTTTGTCATTTTGCATCGCGTCCGACATTTGTCGAGATTGCAGTTATATACACCGCCCCGAAAAGGGAGCTAGAGAGAGAAGCCGCAAGGCACCATTGCATTACCGCATTTCATTAACTTGAGCAGTTCGAATTTTTGGCGGAAGAGTATCGCGTCGGAGACAGTGGGCCTGCCAATCACCATACTGCGTCGAACGAAGACAGCACCGAGTGATGCTGCCATCCACGCAAGAGATTGGCTGGGCGGGTGAGAAGGAAGCGTGATACACAGATGGATGTCATTGGATGCATAATATTTATTAGTGTGAGCCATTAGATGAGAGATAGGGTATACATTAGACGAGACAGAGACAGAGAGAGAGAAACATAAGAAAGACATTACCATCACCATCAAACTCCGTTCTTACTTCACACCATCTCCTTCGCTTGTGGTCTCTGATACGTCCTCCCACTCTCGTAGATGTCGTGTGAATGCATCGACTCAGTCACATCTACCTTTGTCGTCACAGTGATGTTGCCCATTCCACCGCTTCCGTGTGCTTTGTTGTGCAGCCTTGTATCGCTCTCCGTGCTTCCTCGTTCCCCGCTTGTCGAGCTTCCTCCGGATGGACTCCTGCTTAGATCTCCGGCTTGCTTGGTCGTCGCATCGATTGTTGTGAGCATGTATGACTTGCCAGCAGCGGTATGACCGGCATACTCGCCATCTGATGTCTTGTTCGATGCAAGAGGACCGTAGCTTTTGACCGCAGAGCGCTGCTTTGTACCCTTTCCGTATGCATCTGAAAAGTATCGTGGTTGCGAGTTCTTGCGGGAGCCGCTGCCGTATGTGGATACGAGGATGGATCGGAAAAGCGGTTTGAGGCAGGGGAGGTTGCCGGCGACGATACCGACGTTGCATTCGACGACGGTCCAGATGGTCATGTCGCGCGAGTCCCAGAGGAGGTCGCCTTCCCGCCCGTAATGAGGGAGGTAGGACAGTTTCACCAAAGCGGCGACTGTAGCGAATGTACCAAGGCCGAGGATACAGATGAGGGACGCTTTGTGACGGCGGTTCATTTGCACGCCCCACAGCATAGGAATCTGCATGGGTGCATTAGCATAGCCAATGCAGCGGTCAGGGTCTGGAGGCACTTACAGGTATGCCCACTGAGAAGGCGATATCGGTGATGATGTTCAATACGATGTTCAGGAAGCCGAGGGCTTGTCTCGTTTGGATGGTCCAGCATGTGCCTTTCACGCTTTGATCCCACATGAGACTCAAAGGTCTGCATTGAGTGACGACTGTAAGGGCGCAGCCGATAGTATAAACCGTCATGAATACTAGGACTGCTTAGCTTCGCATATTGCTATCAGAGAGTTATGCACTCACCCATGATGCCGATAATCAAGCGCCTGTATAACCGTCCGACCGCAATCCGAAGGAGAAAGAACCCCACAGAAACCTTGACGAAACAGATGGCGAACAAGAAGATCGGCTGCGAAATGAGATTCAACCTCAGAGCGGCTACGAAGTCTTCCTTCTTGATGTAGTCGATGTGTTTTCCCGCCCCCATGTGAACTTGCGGTATAACAAGGCATTGACCAGCAATGCACTGCAGAATGTTAGCTGTGTGTAGTAGTTCCAAGAACAGTCGGTCCATACCAATGTCATAGCCAACAGCATCACATAGTCCTGATCGCGCAAAGTCAGTGTTGTTCACCCATGCCTTGCCAGGGGAGTACTCACGTCCCAACCAACATTCCTGATCATCTTAACCCGGACATAGAACCTCGCAATTGTCGTGAGCACGGCCACGACGGTGACGGTTAGCGTGCTCGCGAGGATGGTAGGACCCTGATCTTCGTAGGGTCGCAGTGGTGGCATGGCTGCGCCGCTTTGCTGCATTGTGGAAAGCACGTCAATTGAAGGTGAAGGATTCCGGATCACGCAAGTTGTTCGAAGTTCAAGCAAGATGCTTGCACTATATGCAATGTAATACCAGCGAGCGGGAGTTCGCGACGACGTCAGGGGTTTCACATGGCGTACGTCTTGAGACCAGCAGCTCCTGTCTGCAAGACCTTAAACCGCCACACGGAAGGACGGAGAGAATACAGTTAACGCAAACCTTGTTTTCTGGCATCTGCGATCCATCACGCGGCGCAAGAGGTCGGGCTCATCGAATCTGGTACCGAGCCATAAAGACATGTGCTGGCGAGAAACCGTCTGGACTAGCCTCGCTACACCTGGAAGGAATGGTGGCTGTGGACGGCTGATTCGAGACGAAAGTATGGGTCTTTGCGTGGCAGACTGACGGGGCAGGAAATAGTATCCCTTGATTCAAGAGTACCCCTGCAGACGTAGAGTCTCAAGTGCAGGGTCTCGGGCACGGCGCTCGTAGGGTAATCTAAGTGCGGTCCTAAAGAACCTCGGGAGTTGCGACGGCACTGACCTGTGGCTGAACGCCCAGTGTAGCGGCACGTTCTGACAGTAGTGTATGAGTTGGATAGTCATTGAAGCTGTTCTTCGTGCTACCATTCAGTGAAGATGAATGACCCCACCCGCAAAAAGCAGACAAAGATGCGTAACTGCGCTACCGGCCACGTGGGTATGAAGCTGCCAAGGTAAGGCAGCGAGGGAGTATCCAAAGTGCCGCATGATTCTCACTCTAGAAATCGTTAAAGCGAGTGACGAAGAGCTAGAAGCTGCATGTCATACCGTTTACTGCACATCTTCGAAACTAAGCCCACTGCACTGTGCTAGTCCGGAGCACGGGCCTGTGGAGAATGATTTCGTCAATACGGAGTACAACCGAGCATTGACAGGAGAAGAGAGGAGTCCGCAGATCAAATTGAGGACATAGATGATATCAGGCCACGAGGAGAAGGGCCGTTGCGGGAAAGTAGAGTGAGCAGATCCCCCGGGCCGCGTAGGCTGTGCTTGGACACGTCGTCTGCTGGTAAGCTCGAGAACATGCTGACAGCATATTGCAGTACATCTACTGCAAACTGAGGCAGGACTGAAGAGAGCTGAGAGATCGGCTAATATCTGCTGCGCTTGTCGCTTCCAGGCGCCTTGTAAGGAAGGTCGTAACAGACGGCACGCTTCCAGAGACTCGAAAGGTGGTGCGTAAGCCAATGACTGCGCCAGAATGGGGCCTCCCGTGCGGCTGCACGTTAGATTCGCAATCGAGATTAACCGGTAGCTTGGAAGCACTGGAGGCCTCACTGGCCTTGCGCTCGGTGTGAACATGGAGTAGAGGAAGCGGGACGGGGAGTCGGCAAGACGGATCTCATCCCTTAGCGTAGCCTAGCGCCATGGCAAAATTGCGCCACCAATGTGCAGCGGCATAGAATGCTTAGCAGTCTTCACCTAACACGCACGATATCCGAGCGACCAGACCCGATGCAGGCTCCTGAATCATGGAAGGATCAGTACACTTTTCAGGGAATTTCGTATACCACATGGCTTGCCGCCAGGAAGAATATTTCCTCTCCTGCACGTGGGCGGGTCGCGGCTCATTATGCAGGTCTCGGACGTGATGACCTGCAGACGTGGAACAGACTGGTATCAGGGCATCCTCGGCAGAAAAAGATAGATGTACGGATATGACCGAGGTAGAGTTGTCGAACTACCTGTTGTATGGGTAACTAACGATTGCGGAGCTCATACATTACTCGCAGCCGGCATGATTCAGAATGCTGCGCGCCCATCATGTTCCCGCGCATCAACTTTGGGTCTTTATCCAAACGACGCTAGGCCCATGGCCATCCGAAGACCGGGCAGCCTTGACATGACACTATGGGTACATCGGCGCCATATGAGTTGTCCGGCAAGCTACTTCCGATCTTGCCATGCACATGTCGCCGAACGATGGCTCTTCGTATGGACTCGCTTGAGGATACGACCCGGTTCATAGGTAGCCCGCCAATCTAGCCTCAGGGTCCTTGCGCTCAGGGCATGAGTATAGTCGGAGATGGGTAGGCACAGGCTCCAGGCACCAGAAAATTATTGGCCCCACACGTGGCATCGCCTTGCCTTGCTCCAATTCTTCGCCAGCAGACGGAGATAGCAAGACTAGATGCGGTGTACAGTACTGTTCCAGCAAGGTCGTGGTGGCTTCGGCATGTACTCGCCACCAACCCCGGCAGTGAGCATGGCAAGCTCAATCGGTAGCGGTGTATGGTCATCTCTTCGAGGTATATGTATGGGAGCGGCACATTTTTCTTTTGCTCATCAGCACTCAGCTTCTTCTGCTAAATAAGCCACTTCCTGATCCATCAGTTCCATTGGTCAACAGACAATATGCGTTTCAACTCCCCCATCGCACTGGCCCTGCTCGCTGGAACTCTATCACACGCGCTACCAGCTCCACAAGATGCGCCGATAGACCCCTCCTCACTACCAACTGCTCCCTCGAGCGATCCTTCGGTCGCAACCGAACAACTTGAGCAATTGGCTCTGTTCGCTCAGCAACAAGTCGAGGAAGCACTTGCAGCAACTTCGTCAAAGCGAGCCGCTTGCACCTGGAACAATGTGTCGGTACGCAAAGAATGGAGCGCCCTGACGAAGCCGGAACGCAAAGCCTACACCGATGCCGTACTCTGCCTCCAAAAGAAGAAGGCCAATACGCCTGCTTCACTCATCCCAGGAGCAAAGTCTCGCTTCGATGACTTTGTTGGCAACCACATCCTGAAGACCATGGAGATCCACTACACTGGTACCTTCTTGGCGTGGCACAGGTACTTCACCTGGCAGTACGAGCAAGCTCTCAAGAATGAGTGCGGCTACAAGGGCACTCAGCCTTACTGGGACTGGGCCAAGACTGCTGCTAGTGGTCTTGAGAAGTCAGCTATGCTCGACGGATCTGCCTCCTCCATGTCCGGCAATGGAAAGTTCATTCCTGGTCAGGGACAAGTTGTCATCGCGGGCAGGGGCGAACCATACATCTACATCCCCGCCGGTACCGGTGGCGGATGTGTGACGAGCGGTCCATTCAAGGACATGAGTAAGTCATCGATACATACACGAGACGTTCATTCAGGTACTAACAATCATTCCAGAGGTCAACCTTGGCCCAGTCGCTCTGAGCACAACCAACGGAACCGAGATCGCAAACGGCGACGGCCTCTCCTACAACCCCAGATGTCTGACGCGCGACTTGACCGACTACAGCAACAAGAAGTGGGCTAACGCGACCGCCATCGCCGACCTCATCATCAACAAGAAGGACATCTGGCAATTCGAGATGGTCATGCAGGGTGTACCAGGAACAGACAGCCTGGGTGTACACGGTGGAGGTCACTACTCCATGGGCGGTGACCCCGGCCGTGACTTCTTCGTCTCGCCCGGTGACCCGCTCTTCTACCTCCACCACGCTCAGATTGACAGGACTTGGTGGATCTGGCAGCAGCTCGACCGCAAGAAGCGCACGAGCGAGGCTGGCGGTATCTCGGGTACTGGCACCTTCTTGAACATGCCTCCCTCGGCCAATACCACCTTTGACACGACCATCAACCTTGGCTATGCTGCGGATGGCACAGAGAGGATGGAGGATTTGATGAGCACGACAGAGGGACCTTTCTGCTACATCTACGTATAAGCTTGAATGACCGTTATGACACGCATGTATGCGACTGTATATACAAAATAATTAGTAATTAGACATGAAACCAGTAAGACCATCATCAGTTCGCCTGTCGCTGCATGACAGCTCTCAGATACGCAGTAAACGCATTAGACGGCATAGAACATCACCTTCCACCGCCACAGCCTCGCGCATCCAACCAACACACCACCACATGCCATACAAGCACCCGCCACCTTCATCGCAATCTGGCCACCCCGCTCGCTCCCATCAATCAACGCCGCAGCCCCAACAACCCCACCAAAAGCAGCCAACCCCGCCAACGCCATACCAACAGCAACCCGTGCGGGCATATCATCCTCCCACCTCCCATCTACCTTCCTACTAAGAAACGACGCCACAACAACCATATGCAGCGAAAACACCACTCCAAGCGCAACCCCATACAGCGCCGCAAGCGGAATAACAACAACGAGTCCCGGATATAGCACAGGCGCAAGACATACCGCACTCCCCAGCACCGCCGCAGCAACAAACATGTTCACCGCTCCAACCGTTCTTAAAACATGTATGTTTGCCGCTGCAGAGCCTGACACAGCGGCAACGCTTAATATAGCGAGGAGACTGTATGCCGCTATATCCGGGAAGAAGAGGCCGGGGGGTTGGGTGAGGAGGAGGATGCTGTAGAAGGGGTATATGATGATTCCTGAGAAGACGAGCATGTAGCCGAGGAGAAACCACATTCCGCCCCCTTTTAAATCGTTGAGGAAGTGTTTGGGCATGCGGAGATGGAAGTGGTGGATGGATGGCCATTCTTTCTCTTTCTGTGCATCAAGGCGAGCGAGGAGGAAGAATGCAGTGAGCAGTGTGGCGGCTGTTACGGCGCCGGTGAAGAGATGCACCCGCGCCCCGTTACCATCTTCACTGCTTTCGTAGGCAAATCTGGATAGAGCGGTATACACGACCGCCTCTGCGAAGCCCGCAAACCCACTCTGTACAGACACCAGCGGAACATCGTTTCTGTAGTGCCCGGCGAGGACTAGACTGCTAATCGTAAAACACGCTCCCAGTGCGGTACCTAGAACGGGTCCCTGCAACACTACCACAGCGGCATAACTCTGCGTTGCATACAACGAGAACTGTGCCGCAACCGCTACGAGTATGCTTATTCCAAACAAGACTCTCCAGCCCCATGGTCGGGCACCGGAGTTGATCATACAGCGGCGGTATACGTAGCCGATTGGCAACGGTGCGGCGAAGAGGAAGAGAAATTGTAGACTCGGTATTATGGCTAGGCCAA